TCAGTAAAGCCCTGTTGTAGTAATAGATTAATATTAAAATATTAATATATATTAAAGTGTTTATATATAATACTTACTATAACTTTATCTTTTATCTCTAGATCTTCTATGAGCTTAAATACTTTTTAGCTAAGATACGTACTAGTATGAGAGTTATGTAAGGGTATAAAATCAAGAAGAAGGGTTTTCATTATCCACTCTATATCAACCTAGTAGGTAGTAATGCTGAGAAATTGTTGTTTATTACATGCTGTCCAAACATCGATAGTAAGTGCTAATTTACTACAATTTGGTTTTAATATATTTTTTATTTCTATTCTCATAGATTCAAATTTATTTTTAATAGTTGTAGAGACTGTTTGGCGGCATGGAAGTTTGTACCATGGATCAAGATTTGAAACAAATTTAATAAAAGGATTTCATCAACTATTGAGAAGGCTAGTTGACTCTTAATAATTAATTGGTATAGATCGTGATTTAAGCGATCTTTGTCAACTTTATTAGTCATTGAATATGAAAGATAGGTAACTTTTGCATTTTTTTGCTTAAAATCTTTATAGATACTTGCATGCTTACTTTCGAAGTGGCGTGATATTGTCGATAGAGATGTACTTGAACCCCAATTACTAGGATCTTTAATGCCAGGAATACTAGAACATATTTCACAAACACGGGTACCATCATCGAATTTCTTTAGATAGTCATGAACAGGTGCTGTTCTTTTTTTTGATTTTTTTATATTATTGTTTATAATAATTTTATTAATAGTATCATTTTCTAAATAACTTTCATAAATATCCTTATCCGGAGGATCAAAAGCTGAAGAGACAGGATCAAAAATTTCTGAAGAAATAGGATTAGGAATTAGAGAAGCAGAATCGAGAGATAAAAAAGTGAAATCAATAGGTAAAAAAGTAGAATCGAGAGGTAAAGAAGCGGAATCGAGAGGTAAAGAAGTGGAATTGAGGGATAAAGAAGCAGAATCAAGAGATAAAGAAGTGGAATCAAGGGGTAAAGAAGTGGAATCGAGAGGTAAAGAAGCAGGTAAATTAGAGTTAGATATTGGAAAAAATTTATTAGAAACAAATTTGATATTTGTAAATTTTTTTTTAAAAAAAAAATAAATTGAAGTCATGAAAGAAATTTGACTTTTTATTTTTGATTTGAGTTATTGTTGCTATTCAATAACAAAACGTAGTATTTTAAATATATAAATTAATGTAATCGCGCAATTGTCTTTAGATTAAAAGAGTTTATTAATTAGCTATTTAA